TCCACCTTCTTGACGTGGGGCTCCTTGCTGCTGCTGCTGCTGCTGCTGCTGCTGCTGCTGCTGCTGCTGTCTGCTGCTGAGCTTTTCAAGTACTGCTGCAGCAGCAGCAGCAAATCAGCAGCAGCAACAGCATCCCAGTCCAGGCCCAGCAGCGCCAGCCGCGAGGAAACAGAAGAATCCTAAAAAGGAAAACAAAAAGAGTTATTAAATTAAATTAAATTAAATTAAATTAAATTAAATTAAATTAAATTAAAATAAAATAAAATAAAATAAAATAAAATAAATTAAATTAAGCCCCTACAGCCAGCAGGGGCCCCTTTGAGGGCCCCCAAAAGGTACCCACAGGGGCCTCCTGCAGGGCCTTTTAAAAGCCCCCAGGGGGCCCCCCAGGGGGGCCCCCAAGGGGGCCCCCAGGTGCCCCTAGGCCCTCCCAAAGGTCCCCAGGGGCCCCCAGGGGGGCCCCACAGGGGGCCCCCAGGGACCTCCAAGGGGGCCCCAGAGGGGGCCCCAGGGTGCGCCCCAGGGGTGGCCCCCAGGGGGCCCCCAGGGGGGCCCCAGGGGGGCCCCAGGGGGCCCCCAGGGGGGCCCCAGGGGGGCCCCAGGGGGCCCCCAGGGGGGCCCCAGGGGGGCCCCAGGGGGGCCCCAGGGGGCCCCCAGGGGGGCCCCAGGGGGGCCCCTGCGAGAGTGAGATGTGGGGGATTGGCTGACCATTGGTGCATCTGCATGCGAGTCCCAGAGGCTCGAAGCTGCTTGCTGCTGCTCCTCTTCGTCTTCGCTGCTGCTGCTGCTGCTGCTGCTGCTGCTGCTGCTGCTGCTGCTGTCGCTGTCGCTGTCGCTGTCGCAGCTGCTGCCTGCAGGCTGCTGCTCTTTGCAGGCTTTTTGTGTTTTTGTTTTTTCATTTTGAATTTAAATTCTGAAGCAGCAAAATGCCACTTAGGGGCCCCTTCTTCTGCTGCACTGCAGCAGCAAATAAACCAGCAGCAAAACAAAAATAATCTTTTTTACAGAATCGAGGCTCTTTTAAAATGCGTTCAAAACGAGGGTCCAGCAGCACTTGAGACCCCAGGGGGCCCCCTCAGTCTCTTCCCATAGACAGGGGGCCAGGCCGGGGGGCCCCCTGCTGCTGCTGCTTGCTGCTGCTCGCTGCTCTGCTGCTCTTGCGGCCTCCAGCTTGGCCTGCTGCTTCGTGGGGACCTCCTGCTGCTGCTGCTGCTGCTGCTGCTGCTGCTGCTGCTGCTGCTGCTTCCTTTTCTGCTGCAGCTGCCGGTGCTGCTGCTTCTGCTGCCGCGCCAAAGCGCTGATGCCGAAGCGAGGATCTGCTGCAGCAGAGAAGCGGCGGTCTAGCCGCACCGCTGGCTTCTCTTCTGCTGCTGCTGCTGCTGCTGCTGCTGCTGCTGCTGCTGCTGCTGCTGCTGCTGGGGGCGCAGCCGCTTGAGCAGCAGCAGCTGCTGCGCTGCTGCTGCTGCTCTTTGCAGGCTTTTTGTGTTTTTGTTTTTTCATTTTGAATTTAAATTCTGAAGCAGCAAAATGCCACTTAGGGGCCCCTTCTTCTGCTGCACTGCAGCAGCAAATAAACCAGCAGCAAAACAAAAATAATCTTTTTTACTTTTGCTTCTTTTTGCTGCTGCTGCTGCAGTTCTTCCCCAGCTTCTTCTGCTGTGGGGCCCCACAGTACCCTTGGGGGCCCCGGGGGCCCCCCGGGGGCCCCCAGCAGCCCCGGGGGGCCCCTGGGGGCCCCCCAGGTGGGGTTTTCTTTAATTGTGAATATTTTGGGGTTTTAAATTTATTTTATTTATTTGTTTTTAATTTAATTTAATTATTTTAATCCAAATTGCGAAAGTTTGGGGTTCAGATCTGCTGCAGACAGTTTGCTGCAGCAGCAGAGATCCCAGCTGTGGGGCCCCGGGGGGCTAGCTAGCTGGCTAGCTAGCTAGCTGGCTAGCTAGCCAGCTAGCTAGCCAGCTAGCTAGCCAGACAGAGGGTACGCTAGCTAGCTAGCTGCTGCCACCAACGCTGCAGCAGCCAGCTACACCCGGCGCGGCAGCAGGCAGCAGCAGCAGCAGCAGCAGCAGCAGCAGCAGCAGGCGGACAAATGCTGTGGGCAGCTTCGAGGCCGCTGCAGGCTGCTGCAGTTCGCGCTGCTTCTGCTGCAGGGGCAGCTTCTACAGTAGCAGCAGCAGCAGCAGCAGCAACAGCAGCAACAGCAGCAACAGCAGCAACAGCAGCAGCAGCAGCAGCATCTGCGTTCCGTCTGCAGGCGCTGCGGCAGTACACAGCGGGGCGCAGGCGACGGCTACCGGCAGCGAGCAGCAGCAGCAACAGCAGCAGCAGCAGCAGCAGCAGCAGCAGATATCTGAAGGAGAATAGCAGCAGCAGCAGCAGCAGCAGCAGCAGCAGCTCAAGCCATTTCGCCGGCGGCCGTCATGCTGCGGCTGCTGCTGCTCCAGAGACACCTGGGCACTCTGCCGCCGCCGCAGCAGCAGCAGCAGCAGCAGCAACAGCAGCAGCAGCAGCAGCAGCAGCAGCAGCAGCTAATGGCAGCAGCAACAGCAGCAGGGGCGTCTTGCTACTGCTGTGCTTCAGGTGTGCAGGTTCTGCAGCAAAAGCAGCCGCTGCAACCGCTATCAGCAGGGACCCCAGCAGCAGCAGCAGCAGCAGCAGCAGCAGCAGCAGCAGCAGCAGCAGCAAGGTGGAGAAGCAGGGCGCGTCCGCACTGAAGATTTGCTGCTGCTGCTGCAGGGCCTAAACTCTGTGAGCGCATTTTCTCTTTTATTAAATAAAATATAATAAATAAATTAATTAATTAATTAATTAATCAATTAATTAATTAATTAATTAATTAATTAATTAAATTGAATTAAATTAATTAATTTAATTAAATTAATTAATTTAATTAATTCACTCTTTTGTCTTTTGTGCTGCGCTGCTCTTTCGCAGCTCGCGCGGCTTCACCTTCGCGCTGTGAAAAGGCACTGCAGCAGCAGCAGCAGCAGACACAGCAGCAACAGCAGCAGCAGCAACAGCAGCAGCAGCAACAGCAGCAGCAGCAACAGCAGCAGCAGCAGCAGCGACGCGCCGGCTCTGCCATTCTGGGCGCTGTCTCTCCTGCCCTCTGTGGCTGGGGAGAAGGAGCTGCGGGCCGCGCTGCTGCTGCTGCAGCACTTGCTGCAGCAGCAGCAGCAGCAGCAACTCTTGTTGCTAGCTGCGCAGCAGCAGCAGCAGCAGGAAGCAGAAGCGCCCTGCCTACATTTTCCGTCTGCAGCAGCTGCTGAAGACACGACTGAGTCAGAGGTGCAGCAAACGCTTCATGCATCAATCTAGGGTTTAGGGTTTAGGGTTTAGGGTTTAGGGTTTAGGGTTTAGGGTTTAGGGTTTAGGGTTTGTGTTGGCCCTGCAGCATCTTTCTGGGCAGCGACTTTTGGCGGCTCGAAGGAAAAAGAAGTTGGAGATGCTGCGGGAGATAAAGCTGTCTAAGGTCTGCTGCTGCTGCTGTTGCTGCTGCTGCTGTTGCTGCTGCTGCTGCTGCTGTTGCCGCTGCTGCTGCTGCTGTGAATTTTGCTGCTGTAGCTGCTGTATCTACTGCAGCTGTGACTGCTTTTGCTGCTGCTGCTTCTGCTGCTGCTGCGTTTGCTGCCGCTGCTCTTACTACATGCTGCTGCTGCTGCTGCTGCTGCTGCTGCTGCTGCTGCTGCAGGTGCAGCACATGCCGCTGTGGGTGCGGAAGACCGTTAGGCTCACGAGAGCAGCAGCAGCAGCAAAGCAGCAGCAGCAGCTGCGGAAGAGAGAAAGACTATCTCTGGTACTTTTTGCTTCTTTTTAATTTATAAAATATATTTTAAAAGTATAAATAGAAACGCCTGCAGCCAGGATTTAACTTTCACTCATTGCTGCTGCTGCTGCTGCTGCTGCTGCTGCTGCTGCTGCTGCTGCAGGATGACCCATCGCCTGAGATGGCTGGGGAGTATGTGTGGGTGGCTGAGGAGGACGAGACACAGCAGCAGCAGCAGCAGCAGCAGCAGCAGCAGCAGCGTTCTGGCGCCATTGCAGCAGCAGCTGCTGCTCCTGCTGCTGCTGCGGCAGCAGAAGCAAACGGAGCTGCCCATTCCTGCGTACGCCTTCGCTGCTGCTGCTGCTGCTGCTGCTGCTGTCTGTACACCTGAAGCTCCTGCTGCTGCTGCAGCTTCTGCTTCTTCTCCTCTCCCAATTCTTTTTCATTTATTTCCAATTTAATTCTTTTTATCTTTTTATCTTTTTATTTTAATTTAATTTAATTTATATTTATTTTATTTTATTTTGTTTTTATTTTATTTTATTAATTTGCTTCCGGGCCAATTAATTTGCTGCTGGCTCTTTGCCGTGTGCAGCCACTTCAAATGCACTTTACCATTTACCACTTATTACAATTAATTAATTAATTAATTAATTAATTATTATTATTTATTATTTATTATTTATTATTTATTATTTATTTAATTATTTATTTATTTATTTATTTATTTATTTATTTATTTATTTATTTATTTATTTATTTATTTATTTATTTATTTATTTATTTATTTATTTATTTATTTATTTATTTATTTATTTATTTATTTATTTTTAGCTGGAGCTCGACGAAGAGGAAAGCCCTGGGCGGGGCCCCACACCTCCGCGGCGCTTTGAGTGGCTGCCTCTGGACCCCAAGGAGTAAATAAATAAATAAATAAATAAATAAATAAATAAATAAATAAATAAATAAATAAATAAATAAACAATTTAATAAATAAATAAAAAATAATAATTAAATGGTAATTTAAATAATACTTCGAAGTGGTAAAATGGTCAAGAGGGGCAAGACCAGCAGCAGCAGCAGCAGCAGCAGCAGCAGCAGCAGCAAATGCTGCAGCTGCAGCTGGTGCTGCTGCTGCTGCTGCTGCTGCTGTTGGTGCTGCCGCTGCTGCTTCTGTTCGTTTCACGCCCGCAGAACTGCAGCAGACGCACCGCCTCTTTCTGCCGTTGCTGCTGCTGCTGCTGCTGCTGCTGCTGCTGCTGCTGCTGCTGCTGCTGCTGCTGCTGC